TCTGCAGTATGACACCATGAGGAGAAATCCAGTGTCAATGTTTATGTGTAAAAGCTCTGAAACATGTCAACAAAGGAAAATAACTATCTTCTTCAACGACAGACAGGTTCATCACTCAGATCAGCACACTGCTGGCCAGGGTTGAGCTCAATGACCTGCTGTGGCAAATGATTAATTGTCATGTAATCACAGATACACCCAGGCTCTGTTTGTTAGCCTCTCAACTAGGTGAGGAGTTGTTGTTAAAACCATGTTAGTCCATTCTTTCTTTCACTTGCATGCAGTTGACGCTGCACAGCCAAATGAGGAGGGTACTCACCCCCACCCACCCTGTCAGCCTGCTCACAGATAACAATCACCACAGACACACACCCGCAGCTCTCCCTGTCACACCTCCCTGGTTAGCCACCTGATCCCAGTGCTAGTTCTGCTAACCACCCTGCAACTGCGAACTGGCACTGACAAAGTGAGTTAACAGGTTATTCTACAGTGTTCACAAGAGCGACCTGGAGTCAGGGAAGTCCACGTACAAAACACTCGTTCGGGGGGATTTAGTAAAGCTTGTTAGCCAACTCACGTTAGCTGTCATTTCATGCTGTTAGCTCACATTAGCACTTAGCAAGCGACTCTGCCCATTCTAACCTGAGCTAACAGTTGGCTAGCACTTTGCCACCGGAGTCTGGGTAAAGTTTCCACAGGGGTACGGAGGAGTGTGGCTGTGTGCGAATGATCGGACTAACGGAGGTCCCGGTGACAGCTGTGAATCCCCCCCCCCCCGGCCTGGAGACAAAGGTGGAGGTTACCTGCCAGCGTGACTGATGGAAGAAATCACTTGCTGTTGCTAGTGGAGATTAGCCAGCTAGCAGTTAGCCAGCTAGCTGCTGGCAGTTCGCAGCTGGGAAACAGGTCAGCGACACCGAACGAGCTTTACCGAGGACGCGTCCTGCTCCGGGTCAGTGCGGAACACACGCGCTCCGATAACCGGCCAGAATGTCAAAAAACTGCGGGCAACACACCGCGATAAACATCCAAATAAAGTGTGTACTGACCCTGCTGTAGCTTGACTGTACGAGGAGATGGCCGAATTTCCGCTTCCGTTCTCGGCATCAGGAAAGACCGCACCCCCTGTAGCTTTGTTTCTCTGGGCTGGTTGTAGACACTCATGAATAATTCATTCAGGTTTTAAACCGCCAGAAAGAAAGCTATTAATAAAAAGTCAGAAGAAAATTATTATTATTATTAAAATTATTAAAATTATTAGAAATAAAGCTCTGCATAAAAAGTCAGGACTAAATTGCGATTACATGTATATGTTAAAAATATATTATTATTATCGCTATGAACAGATAACATTTTTAGCTTTTATTTGTATTAATTTAATTTTAATCCAGCTCTGATATTTCCAACTTATGTAATAGTTTTATATTGTGTACATTTATTTTCTCATCTGTCATCATCAACATTTTTATTTTTGTATTTTTTTTAATGCTCTAAACCTTTAAATTTCTTTTATCTGTTTCCTATTTAAATCTTCAATTCTTCAACATGTAACAATTTACAACATGTAAAGCACCTTATAATAACAATAATAATTATTATTGTTATTAATTATTATTAAGCATTCATATAGGAGGAGAGAATCACATCCTCATTCGATCTCACAAGAACATGTTAATTGATGGGTTTCATGATAGTGCGTGGTTCATGTGAGTGACTTCATCATCAAATGCAGAGAAACCTTTGAGAAGAGGATGATAATTGACAACGTTCATTCGTCAGATAATATACAACATTTTCAAAATTATGGATTAATTTGGAATAATTTTAAAGTTTGAAATTGTCCCTAACCTATTTCCGTTTTTTGGCCCTAGACCAATGCATTTTATTCTTTGATACATAAACTTCATATGTTTATTACATGAAAAAAGATACATCATCATCATAATTGGTTTTGGTCACATTATGTTGAGACCTAAAAAACTGTGCAACATATTTTTCACCTTTAAGTTAAAGCCAACAGAACCTTCATAAAAGTGAGAAATCACATCCTAGACCTCACTGATAAATCATGGCATCAAAGTGTATCACTGGTTTCTCCTTAGCGATGCTGTAGCCCACACTGTCCACAGAGAGGCGTCCTTGAAGTATCTTCAGCATGAAGAGAAGCCAGAGGAGCTCTGTTTGCAGCGGCCTGTCTGAGGAACCATAAATAAAACACAGTGAGCCCTTTAGATCAGAACAACACAAGAACAGCTGGCATGCATGTGTGTAACACGCTCCCCTTTTATCCTGCAGCTCTTTATCCTTTTATCTTTGCCTTCTCTCCTGGGAGCTGCAGCACACTGAAGAAAGTATTGCAGCATGACTCAAGCAAACTATATAACCGTAATGGGCTGTTGCTCTGCTTTGGAAACACTAATCTCATGCAGATAAAAAGGAAAATGAGGCGATTATAACGAGCATAAAAGCTATTTTGGCAGGTGTTGTTCCACTGTTGTGTCACAGAGAAACTTCACACAGCATCTCTTCTATGCTCCCTACTCCTAATCCATCAGAGAGGGTAGTATGAGACACCATGACTGTGTTCTGATGTTTGTGTCCCCATTTTCTTCTATAAAGAGAAAAAATAGATTATATTCTTTTCAAAAAGATTGAAAGAAAAAAAGAAAAAGGCAACACGTGCATTATATTGATGTCACTGGGGTGGTTGTTCTTCACACTGCATCCTAGACTCTATGTTGAAGCACTTATGAAATGATTAATAAGCCTGTGAATATTCTCAGTCATCCAGGTCATGGTTACCCAAGAATAGTTGGATCAATGGCAAGTGGACTTGGTTATGGATACTTGAGGACGTTTCACCTTTCATCCGCGAGGCTTCATCAGTACAGACGAAGCCTCATGATCAACAACCGAGTCCAATTACCCTTGATTCAACATGTAAAGAAAATCTGTAAAATATCAGTTGAAATATGTCACAGCTCGTACCAGGAAACTGGAACTTTATGTGCCCTGTGCAACTTCAGCACTAATATATTTAGCCAATGACAAACACATAAATCTCTGGAATAATATGACATGGCAATTTATGCCAGGTGTCTTTTTTAAGGGAGAGAAGAAAGAAGTCTTGATGTTTTCTCCCAGTTAACAATGTGCACGTTTACAAAATAGCTGAAAAGAGATGGAAGAGAAAACCATCTGTTGTGTTAGCTGAGACAATTTCCTTTTTTAGACAGAATAACAAATTAGTCAGAACATACATCATGCAACTGTCAGCAAAGATTACATGATGCTTACATTGTGTAAGTACATCAGCATCAAGTGTGTACATTTGGACATGTGTACTTCTTATGTAAAGCATTTGTGAATGAAAGAGACTCTCTGTTGGCATCTCTCTCAGAAAGCAATGACAGTTGTGTTTTGGTGGTGGAGTGGTTGTCACAGCAGGGGCCACAGGACCCTATGGTGCAAGCACAAACATGGAAATACATATTGGTCATTGAAAGCCTCAGCACAGCAGTGGCAGTAACCTAAGAGGCGAACGGCCGTTGTGATAGCAGCCAGTGTTTGTGTTACATAACGCACAGCCATCAAAACGGTCGCAATAATAGTCCTGTAGTATGTAGTACCAGGGGAAATCTATCTGAGTGCAGAGAAAGAGGAGGAGAGCGTTAAAGTTGTGGGAGGTGGAAAAGTGGCCTGACCTGCAGCTGGTGATAAGTAGCAAACAGAGCTGGCATGTAGACAGCAAAGCAGAGAATAAAGCTGTTTGTGAGGCAGGGTTTCAGCTGTTAGCCATGTCCCTGTGCGGTGAGAGGCAATAATATACACATGGAAAGAGATACAGGGGGATTTCATGAACTAGAGAAAGCAAGAGCAGGAAGATTAAGGAGATGAAAATCTTAAATGTTCAGAATCAAGAGACTAGAAAGTGTCATGAGGTAGTGAAATGGGTTTGATACACAGTATTTCCATTGGTAAAGGAAGTACTACATTTTAAAGTAAAAGTACAAATAAATAGACATAAAATTACCAAAGTGAAGTAAAAGTACCACATTAACTTTTTATTAAAAGTAAAAGAAAGTATTTGATTTTAAATGAACTTACAGTATAACATTTTGTTGTAGAGTGTAGTCTATCCCCTGATGCAACAGTCTACAACATTATTATGATTGAGTCCTTTTTCTGAATCAGTTTCAGGTGTTTCTTCACCAGAGATGCTGCTGCTGCAGGAGATGGGTTCTAAAGTATCCACTCTGATCTGATCTGTGGATCAACCCCCCTCTAAGTATTGATTGATTTTAAAACCATAACAAACAATATGAGCATGTAACACAATGCGTAAATTAATTAAAAAGCACAGATATTTGTTTCAATATGTAGAGGCTTAAAAGTAAAAAGAACTTGGAAATCAATCTACTTAAGTGAAGATACATTAAAAATGCAAAGTACAGTGACAAATTAAATGTACTTTGTTATATTCAACCAATGTGAGTTTCAAACTGCATCATTTTGTCCCCTGCACATTTAGACAAGAATGAAGGACACACAGGAAAAACAAGAGAGAGTGATGCTGGATAATATAACGTTTCATGTGGCTCACGTCTCTGTAATCCCAGCAAGATTCAGGGATCACAGATACAGCTGGGGGGGGCCTATTCCAATCATTCCTGCATACCTGTTGATCAGATGAGGAATCCCTCACTGTGGGGACATTTCACTGACTCAGACTAGAGGGGGTACGTGGGTACAAAGTGAGTGACAGCTGAGGAGAGAGGGGGAGGCAGAGGAGTGACAGGTTAATGTGGTCAGGCTTTCTGACAGACTGGGAGCTGTGGGATGGTCAGAGAGGGGAGAGAGGGGGAGCACACAGGGAGTGGATGGGGGTGAGGCAGCAATGATGGTGTGTGTGTGGGGGGTGGTGGTCCTCAGGGGTGAAATACCTTGTAGCTGGTTCACGCGTATTTGCCAGCATAGCAAGCAGGCGAGAGGCTGTAAGAGGGAGTTGGCACAAGAGTAGGAAAAGAGAGGGAGAGAGAGGGAGAGAGAGAGAGAGAGAGGGAGAGTTCAGTGCGTGTCTCTTGGGGAGAAGCACACAGTCAATGTCCAGGTCTGCAGCAAACATTAATGACCCTCCTCTATAAAGCTGCACTGCTGCTGCATGGACCCTCGGAGCAAAGGCAACAAACCATCGACAGCGTTTCTAATTTATTTTTGAACTCAAGGACACACTGTAGGGCTCCAGCACAAACTGGCCACTAGTGACACTGACAGCAGCTTTTCTAGGAGTTTAAGTTTCTTTAGATGCTGAAAAGAGTCAAGACAAAGTGACCAGAGATCAACCAGCCGAACAGAAAATGACAGTGAGTATTGTGCAAATCTTTACATGCACATGCTAGATAACAAGTCATATTCAAAATATTCTATAAGAGTCATAGTCTGCTGCAGAAAACAAACAGACATAAGCCAAAACACTCAAATGCAACAATCACTCTGTACATGCAAATGCTTGTGGGTTTCATATATACCATTATTATTGTGTTTTTGCTGCTGGATGATGTGATGATTTGCAGGAATGTCACAAATTCAATCATGGCTTTCATTCATTTACTGCATTTCTCGGAGACTGTCGAGGTTTGACAGACAACGCGTTGAGAGGATTTTCAGCTTGTAAACTTTTAGCACTTCGACCAGACTTCAAATTTGTTAATCAAGTTAGCTGCTTCTTGAAATCTAACTTCGCTCTCTGCTTCATGCCAAGGGCCAATTGGGATTAATTAATAATCATCTCATCTTGCAAGGACATGACAAATATTAGGATGCTCCGCATGCAACAAATGTTTTAGGTGCGTGGGTGATGATTTATGTGTTAGAGCAGCTAAATCAAATATATACTGTGACCTGCATATAACTCCAGCTGTGGGAAATGTGCAAAGTGTAATAAATTATATTAATATGGAATGAATGGCAGCTGGAGAATGTTGTGATATGATAACCACAACCCATCAGAGTTACTCTGTGGGTGAGATTGAAATGCAGCATTTAAACAATGTGCTTTGAGCTAAAACACACAACGTATCTCTATTCCATCGTTCATATCTAGTTTCTATTCTAGTTTATCATTATAAAATGAGATTAGATAAAATTGATCCATACACCAGTGATGTTCAGTTGTTAAAATAGCAGGCAGGTCAGAATGAGGTAGACAAGAGAATGCAAATATAAAAATTGTATGCAAATTATATACACATTTCACTGTAATGGTTTGTATGAAAGTAAATTATTATTATATATTATGTTTTTATCAATGTGCATAGTTAATTCTTTTCTATAAGGTGTCCTTTGAAACGCAATGTCTTCAGTTTTAGTTTCAGTTCATCTGAAGATTGTCTCAAATGTTTTGTAAAATTATCCTTTTTGTAGATAAAAAACTGGAGCGTATTGTTGCACCTGCAGAGCAGCATCTCTTTATACAGCATTGATGTTGAGGCAGCTGTGTTTAAAATAGAGCTGTCTTGTCAGATCTGTGCCATGAAGCCGTCTCGGACTGGCTGAAACCTGTCATCTTATTTTTGGCCGCACATTAGATCCATAGTTTATCAAGTGACAACTCATAACTGACATCCATCCATTCACACTTCTGGCACGAAAAACTGACCTTAAGTAACTTCTACATGATAAGAAAACATTTTGATGACCATAATCACGTTTATTATCTATAATTTGATTAGTGGAGTGATAAAAGGTGTCACAATTGTTTGCAAGAGTGTAACAGAAGTAATCTAATTAAACTCAGTTATGCAACCGGCGTAAGGTCAAAAGTAAAAATATTTCAACCTCCTCAAATCGCTTTAGGTTTTGCGTAAAGCCTCGTGTCGTAACTGTTTACACCCTTCTTAATTGGCTGGGGCATGTGGGGGGGGATATACTTCAAAGCAAGTCATCATGGATGTGATTTCACAAAACAAATAATGACGGTGAAGATTGAATGACAGCACCAAATGTTCTCATCACACACATCAGGTGTCATGTTGATATCTGAGGTTGGTCCTGTCTATAGGAAAATGGAGATCAAGGTGGTATCATCACCCAGGATGTTAAATGCAGGTGGAGGTAGATCCGTTCATTCTATGTTAGCACAAATGAATGAGCTTTCCGAAGACAATGAAATCCACCAGAGCCTCATGAGAGTTGCTATCACTATTCCAACTAATAGGATACATGAGATTATTGGTTGAAAGGTTCTCATTACGCAATGAGCCATGGTGCAGGTTCAGATAACACATCAGTAAGTGGAGCTTTAGATTGAGATTCATTCTGTGAAGGTATCGATCATAACATCAACACATGTCACTCGAGCTCTGGATCTTCTTTCTCTTGACGCCACTGAACCAATCATCTTGTGTAGACACTGAATGTGAACGTGTGTGTGTGTGCGCTCCTCAGACTGCAGCAGCTCAGGATCTTGATGAGCTGTGCTTCCTGTCAGCGCAGTCCATGCCCAGTCTGAAAGTATCCGAACACTACAAGGTGGTCAAGCTCCTGGGAGAGGGATCCTATGGAAAGGTCGTTCTGGCGGTACACAGAAAGAGAGGTCAGTGCAAGAGTCAAGGCGAAAGGTCGTGACAGGATAAACTCTTATTGCTTCTCAATTTAAACAGCCTGTGAGCACGTTGAGAGATTTCCCCTCAAACCTCCTGATGATAACTCCTCGATTACAACCCCTCAACTCCACCAAGCTCACATTTCTTTGTAATGAAGAAAGTACAGTGTTGTTCAGCGCAGCAGAAATGTGAGGACAGATCTGTCTTTTGATAGTGTTCGCTTAACCTTTTACACTCCTGTGCCTGTAATGAAGTGCTTTAGTACATACTTTGGGATAGAGTTGCTGCGATGGGGTACAGCTGTGAAACAGAGTCTCCCCAAAGGGGAAGTTATATTTGTTCACAGTGTCAATGATGGACAACACTCACATTCCTGTAGCAATGACAGCTTTTTTTTTTATATCTCTTTCTTTTTCTCTGACTAAAGCTGATTCAATATTCTTTTACTCACCTCATCTTATTTTTCTTCAGGAACTCCTATGGCTCTGAAGTTCTTCCCTCGTCAGTCCACCTCCCTCTACTCTTTCCTGCGGGAATACAATCTCTCGCTCTCCTTCTGCACCCATCCTTCTCTGACCCGGGCTCTTGGGATCTTCTTTTCCACGCCGACCTATTACGTGTTTGCTCAGCAAGCCGGACTGTACGGTGACCTCTACAGTGTGATTGTCTCAGAGGTCAGTTAAGCTGAAATGAGCTGTTGATTCCCTGCATGACGAGGAGATAGAGGACGTTTCCTCACGTTTCGGTGAACAAAAAGTTTGAATACTGTCGCCTAGAAGAATCCTGCTAATACACAACAGTAGATATGTTTGTACAGAAATATGCTGGCTCAAACGATGACTTAACATATTACATATCGAATTTCCATGTAAGTTTTTTACACAAATTCAATGTAAAGGGTATTTTTTAATAAACAATATTCATCTAATAAATCAACTAAATTGAGAATGATTTG